TTAAGGGAGAAATCTAAGCAAAAGTTCAATATTAATATGACTTAATCTGTCAATGACACATAATTCACCTTTAACGAAATTTTTTATGAACAAGTACAGAGACTTGCTATGGGCTTCCGTTTGGCTCCAATGTTAGCTAATAATTATTTGTCAAGACCGAGGGAACATTTCCTGGAAGAGGTAAGTTTGACTCTTAAAGTATTAATAGATATATGGATGATTATTTTGCAATTTGGCATCATGCTAAGGATAAATCAGTAACTTTTTGTTCTTAATTGACCTGCGAGATCGAAATATTTAGTTGGAAATGAAAAGAGAGAAGGATACTTGTCTACCAATTTGGATGATTTGGAGGAGAGAAACTTGGCACACGCTTATATAGTAAGCTAATATATGCTGACTTTATACTTAATTTATATTCTAACCACAGTTGAAAAACGAAGGTTGGCATTTTAAACTCAATGATTATTCGATGCATTGGATTAGACCACAGAGCCGATTATGACAGTGAGCTAGACCGACATAAAGTGACATGTCTTGGAGATAAGTGATTAGAAATAATCGATTAGACATAATCTCAATTGACCATGGATTGAATTTTAAGTTAGGTAATGTTTGAGAAGAAATAAAAAACAGCGGTCTTTTCTCATATCATGACTTTTTTTCGTGTATTCCCTCTAAACATATAAGTTAACTGGTAAGGAAGTGAGGAATTACAACGGTTTTAAAGAGTCTATGACTATTTAAGACCCATTATTCTGATCAGGATGATATAGGAAAGTGTATTCACGTGCTGGCCTTTAAGTGAATGAGACTTTTCGTCTCACTTGTTAAATAATGGTCTGGGCACAAACGTGGCTTCAGAGGATGTTGGGATCAAAAATCAGACGTAGTGGAATAGATGGAGTAAAATGGAAATGGGAATGAATAATGTCATTAAGAGCAAATTTAGAGAGTTAATTGAAATCATAAATTCGGGAAATGCATTGAATGCTGGCAACGTATTTGTGAATTGACTTTCAGTTTATAAGAAAAAGTTTATTGGTAGGAATTCTTGATGTGGTCTCACCGCAAACCGAAGGAGGATTGCCGCGTAGGGAAGATTGTTGTATTGTGTGAAGAGGTATTCAGCTCACCGTCCTGCGGCCGCAATGAACCTGTGCCAAGCTTTCGTCTGTACGGTCCCGGACATGATCAGAACCAGAATCCATACTTAACGAAATAGAGCAGAAATGTGGCCGGCTGCAACCCTAGTCGCGTTTTCACACGCCCAACTTCGCGATCTTAATGAGACCTCGCCTGATTTG